AACAAAGAAAAAAAAAAACACTATATATATATATATATATATATATATATATATATATATAAATAAAAACAAAATAATATTTAAATCAAAATATTAATAAATACAATAATAGGAAATTAACAATACTAAAATAACACTAGGTTAGACATGGACCCCTTGTGAAGGGTGTCAATGATTGTCTTGTGGACAACTGTCAGATCAGCAGTCTTCCCCATGCTTGTGTAGCCTAGTGAACCAAACTGAGATACCATTTTGAAGGCTCAGGAAACCTTTGCAGGTGTTTTGAGTTGATTAGCTGATTGGCATGTCACCATATTCTAATTTGTTGAGATAGTGAATTGGTGGGTTTTTGTTAAATGTGAGCCAAAATCATCACAATTAAAAGAACCAAAGACTTAAACTACTTCAGTCTGTGTGCATTGAATTTATTTAATACACGAGTTTCACAATTTGAGTTGAATTACTGAAATAAATGAACTTTTCCACGACATTCTAATTTATTGAGATGCACCTGTATACAGAATGGCAAACTGCTCATACTATATTCACAGTATGCACTAAGTATGCAATGCACAGTATATATGGAGTACCAATATAAATGACTACAGCTGCCAAAAAGTGCAGTATACAGCCAGAGAGCAGTGCAAGAAATGCAATGCGCTTGACCTGACTTTCCATTTCTAAAATGACGAATCAGAAATGATGTGAACCATGATTTCTAGCACTTAGAATCTGCATTATGATGAATCGAACTGACAGGACAAGATCTTTCTCTAACCTTAAACAAGACTCTGGAAGAGCAGAATTGTCACCAAATGAAACAAAACAGATGTTATGGATCAACAAGAATTATCAAGTGAAACTGCAGCTCCCGCTGATGGAGAGACCCATCCTCAAATCCCCTCACAGGATGTCAAACGTCATTCCCACGGGCGGCCCGGCAGTGGACGCTGATGGCCGAAGGGTGGAGCGGCATTAATAAATCTATTCTTAACCAGCCGCTGCCATCCAGCCCCAGGACACATGAGACTTCAGTGCCGAAACACGCCATTAGTGTCCATTAGCGCTGCACGCTTCAGCTCTGTCCATTTCCTCCCTCCAGCTCTCATCTTTCTGTTTACATCTCACATCTTTCTTTAAATCTGACTCTTTTACTCTCTATCAATGAAGGCATTGAGAAATAACTTAATTAAGGGATAGTACATCCAAACATTTTCACACAGCTGTTTTCTATACAACAGCCAAAAAATGTCACGCTCCAAAAAGCATCTACTGGTCCTAAAAGTACCAGTCCATACAACTTGTGCACTATATTATAAGTCTTCTGAAGTCATTGTGTGAGAAACAGACTCAAACTTAACTCATTATTGGCTGAAAGTCTTTATGCCAAAATTCTAGATTTGCATTTGCAAAACGTTTGGTGTTGTTGCAGGCAAATGCCATTGGTTTGCAAAGATTGATGGTGGATAGTGAATTAAATTTGGGTCTGTTCCTCACACAAGTTTAAAAGAACTGTCATTGTATAGTAAAGATGATTTTAAATGTTCTTAATTTCTCCTTTTGTGTTCGTCTAAACAGACAAACAGCAGTCTGGAAAGACAGACAGTCATTTGTCACTTGCCAGAATTAGACTGTTTGACGAGATGACAGCAGACTGGTTTGCAAAACATATGGATTCGTGTCCTCACCATTTATGCAATATTACACTGAATGCAAATAATTTTAGTAGCCTTATATCACAATAGCACTGTTGAGTGAACCTGGGCTGCAGTATGGACAAGACTAATTATGCCCTCAGTCATGGCCTAATGGATAGAGGGTTGGATTTGTAACCCGAAGGTCACGAGTTCGAGTCTCAGGTCCGGCAGGGATTGACGGTGGGGGGGGTGAATTACCAGTACTCTCTCTACCTTCAATACCACGACTAAGGTAAAACCCTTGAGCAAGACACTGAGCCCCTAATGCTCCGGGTGTGTGTGCATTTGGATGGTTTAACTACAGAGCACAAATTCCGAGTATGGGTCACTTGGCCACACGTCACTTCACTTTCACTAAAGCTGAAGAAGTCTGACTATGTGAAATGAGACTCACTCCAGAGAGGCAAACAGAGAAAAGTGATGTTAAGGGATCTTTACACTGCGTTTAAGCCATTAAAGAGATCTATGATAAGCTGCTAAACTCTTATTTGTCGGAGTGAGACAAACAGAACACGTCTATAGCGGTGAGACATACCCTGAATGTCGTCTGTCTGTTCGGTGGCCTGCATGGCTTTACGGATCTGCATACGGATGATGTCAATCTTCGTCTTACTGTCCTGCAGCATCTGCTGAGCTGACTGAAGCAGTTTTTTATCCTGGAGCACAGAAAGATGGACAGATGGAGACATCAAGGTAAAATGTCAGATAGATAGATAGATAGACATCAAGACAGATACTGTAGACAGTCAGATAGACATACAGACTTCCAGATAGACAGTCAGATGGATAGACATCCAGATAGATAATCAGATAGAAAGACCGACAGACAGTCAGAGAGAGATAGATAGATAGATAGACATACATATAGATAATCAGATAGAGAGACAGATAGACAGACGGATATAGACATTCAGACAGGTAGTCATATAAACATTCAGATAATCAGACTGATAGACATCCAGATAGAGTTAGACAGACAGACAGACAGACAGTCAGATATAAACCGTCAGAGAGAGAGACAATCAGATAGTATAGCGGTGAGACATACCCTGAATGTCGTCTGTCTGTTCGGTGGCCTGCATGGCTTTACGGATCTGCATACGGATGATGTCAATCTTCGTCTTACTGTCCTGCAGCATCTGCTGAGCTGACTGAAGCAGTTTTTTATCCTGGAGCACAGAAAGATGGACAGATGGAGACATCAAGGTAAAATGTCAGATAGATAGATAGATAGACATCAAGACAGATACTGTAGACAGTCAGATAGACATACAGACTTCCAGATAGACAGTCAGATGGATAGACATCCAGATAGATAATCAGATAGAAAGACCGACAGACAGTCAGAGAGAGATAGATAGATAGACAGACATACATATAGATAATCAGATAGAGAGACAGATAGACAGACGGATATAGACATTCAGACAGGTAGTCATATAAACATTCAGATAATCAGACTGATAGACATCCAGATAGAGTTAGACAGACAGTCAGATATAAACCGTCAGAGAGAGAGACAATCAGATAGAAAGATATATACAGTAGATAGTACCTTGGTAACCCCATTGGCATAGATGGGGATCATGTTCTCTGCCCCCTGTTTGACCTTCAGTTCGATGTTGAGCTGTCGCTCCAGAGCCTTAATCCTGTCCTGATTGGCTGAAGAGCGACCTGGCGTCCCAAGAGACTGAAGGTCATCTGCGGGTCAAAGACAGGGTCAAACATTTATCTGGGGTCATGGTCTAACAGGATTATGAGGACTGTAAATATATAGACAACAAATCACATCATCAAATTACAATTTTATCACAAATTTACATTAAACTCATTTTTGCATGTAGTCTTAAAGATAAGATAATAATGATGACCCCTGACCTTTGCCGTCATCGTGACCCTTGACTACGATGTGGGCGTCCAGCTCTTGCAGCTGAGCGTGGAGCGAGTCCAGTTTGCGGCTGGAGCTGCGTATCTGGCTCTCCACCTGCTGGGCATTGCGTTTGTCAGTGGTGGCCCGTCGCAGGTTCTCCGCACCCGCTTTTATCTTCAGCTCCTTCCGGATCTCCCTCCGGATCCTCTCTCGCTGCTCATCCAACCGCTGCTGCACGCAGGAGTCTGAGAAATCAGAGTTCTGGTCCAGTCCCAGCTGCTCCAGGACGGAAAAACCATCCGAATCCTAGGAGAAACAGGAGGGGTCATGGCAGGCTGAGGTTATGTATGACAGAACGATAAATAGATAGAATGATAGACAGACAGAAAAAAATTGAGACAGATAGAGACAGGCAGATAGAATAATGGATAGATTGATAGATAAAAAGATCCACAGAGACAGATACAATGATAGATAGCTAGATAGACAGACAAAACAATAGACAGAGACAAACTAAGACAGGTAGATAAAATGATAGATTGATAGACAGAGAATAATAGACAGATAGAATGATGCATAGAGACAGACAGAAAGAAAGACGGATAAAACAGACAAGACTGATAGAATGATGGACAGACAGAAAGAAAGAGTATGGCTGTAACACACTCATAAATAGGACTAACTCTGTAAGGGACAAATTTACTACAAAAGTTCAGGAAAAAAAATAGGCATAAAAATAATCTACCTTGGTTCAATGACAACTTATGGAAGCTGATGAAGAACAGGGACTCAGCATTAAAGATGGCTATTAAGACAGGAAGGGATATCGACAGGCTTTGTTATAAAGGACTGCGGAATAAAGTTACTCGAGAGCTGCGAGTAGCTAAATCAAATTATTATCTTCACCAATTAAACGAGGTAAAAGGAAACAGCAAATTGATTTGGAAAAATGTTAATAGTCTTCTACAGAAGGAGATCAATTATCCAGGAGATGTCAAGATCAAAGTTCAAGGAAATTTTATTCTAGATGATTATTCCATTGCTACTGTTTTTAATAATTGTTTTATTAATTCTGTTAACGAACTGGGGGGAAATTTGTAAAAATGGAAAGAATTATTCTACCGTCTGATGTTGATAGCCAAGATTTTAACCTAGCCATGACTAATGAAACACAGGTTAACAAAGTTATCAGCTCATTAAGAAATACTAAATGTAGGGATGTTCATCAATTTAATACTAAGTTTCTTAAAACTCGTAAAGATACTTTAGCTCCTGTTATCTCTCATTTAATTAATTTATCATTTGAATATAGTGTTTTTCCTACTGCATGGAAGCAAGCCATTGTTTCTCCTATTTTAAAATCTGGGGATCATTTTGAGGTAAGCAACTATAGACCAATCAGCATATTGCCAGTAGTCTCAAAGGTTGCAGAAAAGGTAGTTCTTGAACAATTGACATCTTATCTTAATAAAACTAAGGTTGGTTTACACTGTATGCAATTTGGTTTCAGAGTAAATCATTCTACTGAAACAGCTACTTTACATTTAACAGAGCAAATAAAATCTAAACTTGACAAAGGTGGAACAGTTGGTGCTATATTTTTAGATTTGCGCAAAGCTTTCGACATGGTTAATCAAAACGTTCTTCTCTCTAAATTATCTAAGTTCCAATTTTCATCTGGGGCTTTAGCATGGATCTCATCATATTTATCAAATAGACAGCAATGTGTAAAAATTAAAGGAGTTCACTCCAATAACTTAAACTGTACAATGGGTGTACCCCAAGGATCAATATTAGGCCCTTTATTATTTAGTTTGTACATTAATGATCTCCAACAGCAGTGTGAAGGGATACAAGTGCAAATGTATGCTGATGATACTGTTATTTTTACACATGCGAGAACAGCAGAGTTAGCAGCTGAAAAGCTAAATGTTGCTATGGAAAGTTTTACACAGTGTTTAGAGCAATCGTGTCTTACCTTGAACACTGGTGAAACAAAAGGGATGTTTTTTTCTAAAATGAATGTGTGTTCTTCCAATGCAGATATTTTTATAAATGGTGAAAAGATAGATAGAGTTTAATTATCTTGGTTTAACGCTGGATCCAAATCTTAGTTTTAAAAAACATGTAAAGAAATTGGTGAGAACTATAAAATATAACTTGATCAATTTTAGACAAATTAGACAATGTCTACCCACTGATGTAGCCAAGACTTTTATGCATGCTACAATATTTTCTCATCTGACATACTGTCTGACATGTCGGGGTCAAGCAGGGGAAACTGTTATTAAACCTTTAAAATCTCTTTATAAACAGACCTTAAAAACTCTAGACAAAAAGCCTAACCAATATCACAACTGTAGGGTTTTGGAGAAATAAAATTTTTTGAGCTTTGATAATTTTAGACTTTTCTCAAATTTGTGTATGGTATATAACATTTTAAATGGTTTAGCCCCTTCTATACTTCGTGATTTTGTGCATTTTCGCTCTACAGTCTCTGTAAGATCTACTAGATCATCATCTACTAGTGATTGTGTTGTTCCTTTTCGTCATTCTGCCTTTGGGTTATCATCTTTCTCAGTGAAAGCTATTATTCCCTGGAACACTCTACCAGAAGACATAAGGATGTGGACATCTATTGACATGTTTAAATTAAAACTAAAATTGTATTTAAAAGCAACTCAAATCTGTAAACACTGATACAGTTGTGGCTTAACTGAACGTTATCTTTACTTTGCTCTGAAGGGATGTGTATAAGAATTACTGTATTGTATGTGTTTGTTGTTTTGTTCTTATGTTTATCTGTGATTATGATTACCTGCCAAGGGACCGCGGATGAAGACTAGCCATTGGCTAAATTCGGTACAATGCATGAAATGGAAACATTTATGTTAAAA